ATTTCAGAACCGCGACATTTTGGAACCGCTACATTTTAAAACCGCGACATTTTGGAACTGTTTCAGCCAATTTTCAGGCTCCGGGACGTTTCAGAACCGCTACATTTTAGAACTGCGACATTTCAGAACCGCGACATTTTGGAACCGCTACATTTTAAAACCGCGACATTTTGGAACTGTTTCAGACAATTTTCAGGCTCCGGGACGTTTCAGAACCGCTACATTTTAGAACTGCGACATTTCAGAACCGCGACATTTCGGAACTGTTTCAGACAATTTTCAGGCTCCGGGACGTTTCAGAACCGCTACATTTTAGAACTGCGACATTTCAGAACCGCTACATTTTAGAACTGCGACATTTCAGAACCGCTACATTTTAGAACTGCGACATTTCAGAACCGCTACATTTTAGAACTGCGACATTTCAGAACCGCTACATTTTAGAACTGCGACATTTAAGAACCGCTACATTTTAGAACTGCGACATTTTAAAACCGCGACATTTTGGAACCGCTACATTTTAGAACCGCGACATTTTGGAACCGCTACATTTTAGAACTGCGACATTTTAAAACCGCGACATTTCAGAACCGCTACATTTCGGAACTGTTTCAGACAATTTTCAGGCTCCGGGACGTTTCAGAACGCGACAGTTCAGAACCACAACGTAAACCATATGTGAAGTACGGTAGATGGGAACAAATAAAAGAAGCTGAAAAATTTTCAGTGAAAATCACAAAAAATTGAAATGAGCAATGAAACTCATTTGGTGAGCGAAAAACCACCGCTATACAAAAATGCAGAAAAGTTCTGAAACGTCGTGGTTCGAAATGGTCGGGTTCTGAAACATCCCCGTAGCCCATTTTCTTTCGGTTTCTTTATTTGAAAAATCAATATTTTAATGAATTTTTGATATAATATATAAAGTTTCGAAAACACTCACTCAATGAATAATCCGTTCTCCTCGACAGTTTCTGGATCACACAACGCGTAGAGCACCGGTCGCACCGCCTTCTCCGTTCGTCGTTCGCCCATTCCAAAGCTGCGAAATTTGGGAAAATTCGTTTTTTTTTTTGAATATTTGGCGATTTTCAAAGATTTCCCAGGTGATTTTCAGCCGCATTTTTTGTTAGCTTTTTCAGGAGGCCTATTCACGCCAATTTTTTAGGCCAAAATTAGGCTTTTCAGGCCCAAATTAGACTAGACAATGAAAACTTACGGGCAAGGCGGCTGCTGGCCCTAAATTCGACAGCCTGTTCTAGACATGTTTAAGGCCGACTATAGGGCCGTTTAGGCTCTTTTCAGGGCCCAGTTCAGGCCTAAATTAAGTCTCTCAGGCGTATATTAGGCCTACTCACCGGATTTTTCGTTCATATCGTTTCGATATGAGGTGTTTGGCTCTTCAGGCTCTTTCCAGGCCTAGTCTAGGCTTTCAGGCGGCCTAATTTAGGCCTTCCTAGTCTAATTTCAGGCTGAATTTTCAGTGCTTTTTTTTAATGGGAAAAAAATTCGAACCTTCGTTTGTAGGCTTATCTTAGGCCTTCTTCAGGCCGATCTAGGCAAGATTTAGGCCTTTGTCAAGCCAAATTCACATTTTTGAAGACGAGCGCCCATTTCAGGCCAATTTCAGGCTTATTAAGGCCTAGAATCGTCAATTTTTGCAGTTCCAGGGCAAAAGATTGCTGTACAAACTAATTTTTTTAAGCCAGAAAAGAGCTAAAAACGTCCAAAATCACAAAATGGAAATTGAGCGCAAAAACAACGAATTTGACGACAAAATGCACAGGAATTCATATTTTTGGGTGGAAAAAATCGCGGGAAATTCGAATTTTCAGCCATTCTGTGCATTTTGTCGTCGAATTCAGTGTTTCAGCGGTAAAACGTCGAATTTGACGCCAAAATGCACAGAAATTCAAATTTTTTGGGCTAAAAACCGGTAAATTCGAAAAACTGTGCATTCTTTCGTCAAATTCGGTGTTTAACGGTACAACAACGAATTTGACGACAAAATGCACAGAAATTCAAATTTTTGGGTTTAAAAAGCGGGAAATTTCGAATTTCAGCCATTTTTAGTTCAAAAAATCATAGAATCATCCAGTTTTTTGGGGCTTTTAGTCTAAAAATGGCTCGAAGAGGACACTTAGCGTCATTTTTCAGGCCGATTTTACGCAATTTTCAGCCTATTTCAAGGCTATTCCAGGTCTCTCCACTTACCTCACAATTTTCAACAGCCATCTGCTCAGGAAAAACGTCTGCCCATCCATTTGAGCTGATAAATTGGACTTGGTCCTTCCCGGGTCCGCCACCAGCACATTAATATTCGAATCTTTGAGTCGTTCAGCGAGCTCCTTCGAGAATAGAGCCGACGCGAGTTTCGAGTGCTTATAAACCTCATATCCATCGAATTTCTTGTCCGAGGCGTCGGAATTGAAATCGGCCAGCTTCAAATCGCATTTCCTGTCGATTATGTTCGAATTGAGGAACACAATTCGAACGGGATTCTTCTGGGCGAGCAGTTTGTCCAGGAGAAGGCCTGTGAGCAGGAACGATCCCAAATGATTGGTGGCAATGGTTTTTTCGATGCCATCCTGTAAAAAATGGAGTGTTTTTGGAGCAAAAAACTAGACGATTCGGTAGAAAATGAGCAATTTCACCCGTTTACTCTCAAAATTCCGCTTTAAAACTATCAAAATCGAGTTCCCCATCGTTTTTTACCCCGGGAAACCAATTTTCAGCGGTCTAGCTCAAATTGTCGGAAAATGTGGTGTCTGGTCTGCAAACACCACGACAATGCATCGAATTTCACGACAATTCGAGCTAGGCGGCTGAAAATTGATTTCCAGAGGTGAAAAGTGATGGGGTGATCGTTTTTGATAGTTCTAAGACGGAATTTTGACTTTCAAAAGCGAAAATGAGCAATTTTCTGCTGGAAATGTAAACATCTCAGATTAAAATGAGCAATTTCACCCGTTTACTCTCAAAATTCCGCTTTAAAACTATCAAAATCGAGTTCCCCATCGTTTTTTACCCCGGGAAACCAAT